AAATGATGTGACAGCTAGGATTTTCTAAAAGTTCTCCTATGCTGAGAGAGGGGCAGGCTTGAGGCAGGGGAGGAGTGGGCAGATGAAACAAAGTTGGCTGTGAGTTGAACATTGCCGAATCTGGATGATGGGAGTTCATCCTGTACTTTCTCTGTTTTTCTCTAAAATGAAAATGTTTTCAAAACTCCTTTTCTCACCCTGCACAGCAAACATTCCTAGTTATGTGTATGGTGAAAGGAAATCATGAATAGATTTCATGCTATCCGGTCATTGTCAGCTTACGATATCATGACTAAAGCCCTTAATTTAGAATAATATTCTGGAATTTAAAATCACATATGTTGAAAAGGGAAACATGTTTCTCTAATCTTGAGGTAGGGACAGGCTTCCAAAGTGTGGCAGCAACATCAGAAATCATAGAAATTGGGACTGGCTCTTGGCACAGGCATTAAGCTGGCTACTTAGGAAGGCCACATCCTAGATCAGAGGGCATGGGTTTCAGCCTGCCTCCATGCTAGCTTCCTGCTGATGCCCTACTGGGAGGCAGCAGCTGATGGCCCCAGTATTTGGGTCCCTGCCACCCACAAAGGTGACTCGAATATTTGGCTCCTGTCTTTGGCCTATCCTTGCCTGAAGAGGGAAGCAGTGAATGACAGACCTCTTTGTCTCCCTCCCTTTCTGCCTGCCTTTCAAATTAAAAGAAGTAAGCAAATTATCTTAAAAAATTATAATTTACTGGTGCATACTTTAAATATCAATAAAGACCATGAACAAAAGTAAAAGCCAATCAATATACTTGAGAAAGATATTAAGATTAAAGATTAAAGATTAAGATTAAAGATTTGATATATTATCAAATGCTTTTGCCAATCAATGAGAAAATCCCAGTGTTCCGTATAAAAGTGAACAAAATGGCCATAGGCAAGTCACCAAAAAGGCACAAGTGACTGGTAAATGTGTGGGAAAACAGCCAGCCATTGTAATCAAAGAAACCTAAGTGGAACAGCCGGCCTGTTTTCCCCTTCCAAGTTGGCAAGAGCATCGTGAGGCCAGACCGTGAAGCTGAGGGTTTGGCTTGGTTGATAGACGATGGGGAGCCTCTGCTGGAGTTGAGCAACAGTCATCTGCAGAAAGAGGAATCTGGGGTTTTGAAGGCCATGAACTGCTATACAGCTGAGGGCAGGGCCAGTAGACAGATGTAAAGCAGCCGTGAACAGAAAAGAGAATGCCCGCGCTGGTTGCAAGCATCCTGAAGCAAATAGGGAGCTGGCTGGTGGCCTTGCTGGGAGGCAGTGGCACTGCTGAGGGAAGCGGGGTGCTGGGGAGTGGGGTTTTTCTTTGTCTCCTTGCTAGAGACTAATACCCATCTCAGAGACCACGAGAGAGCCCGAAACACCTGCTGCATCCACACAGATGACAAACCCAGGCACATCCTGATGTGCATGCCCCAGGGGCATCATCAGGGGTTTCCTCCTCCTTTTTCCCCAAAGAGAGGACAGAAATGGCCCCAAGCAGCTCTGGGCTAACACTGTGCCAGCACCAGCCGAGCACAGGTCCTAGGGTACTGCTCTGGCTTGGATTCAGAAACTTGTCCATGATTGACTTGGATCTGAAGGTCACTTGTGTTGCCCTGGTGCTGAGTGTGGGGTCAGCCCTATCCAAACTCATTCAAAGTGGAGGGAATGGTTTTCTAAGGCAAAATTGAGTCCTCCCTGCAGGAGGACTGGGGCCAAGGTGCAAAAGCTGTAGGTGTCCATGGTGTTCTACTTGCTGGCTGCCCAGCATCTACACAGATTCCCCACCCCTGTACCAGGTTTAAATAGTCGTTCCCTCTTAGTCCCTCTGGAGAGGGTGTCATCGCAAGCTTCTCCAGGCTCCCTCTCTAAGTCACCACATTCAGCCTCCATGCAGGAGCTTGGCAGTGGCTATCCGGCCCATGAGGTCCTAAGTAATCCCCTCCTGGCCTTCACATCTTGCACTAGACTGCAATGTTGGAGAAAAAAACTTGGAAAGCTATAAGAACCAACCCCCGCTTTGCTGGCCCCCCACCCCCTCCAAGCTGGTGAGCAGTTGAAGAAAACCACCTGCAGCTCCCCACAGCTGATAGGTCCTGGGGCCATTGACTGAATGGTCTACCCACCAATCAGCGGTTCTGATTCTACTGTTTCTTCCTTCCAGCTTGGTGATCAGAGCTGAGAGGCACTGACTGAGGGGTACTTGGTCAGGGTCAAGAGTGATCTTAGAGGCAGAGTAACCCTTGCCTTTGCATTTACAGGTTTCTGGGTTTTTCTCTGGTCATAGACTTCCCTGATTCATTAGGAAGCTTTTAAGTCAATGTTCACCCAGTCATCCCCAGATCCGTTAACCAAAGCTGGAGGCTCATTGAAGGTCACAGTTCTGAAGCAGAGTCCCTGGTGGTGGTGAGGGAAGGGAGTGGTGGTCTCTTAGCAACCGGGATTGGAGGGCTCTGTCCTTGCCAGAACCACAGTTCCCAGGGTTCCGTGGCCTTCAGTGGGATGGGGAGTGAGGATCTCTGCCCACTGGGGAAGGAAGGCTGCTGCAGGCCCCACACAGGCTTCCCCGGGTTCCCAGCCTCCCAGTTTTTGCTTAAACTGACTGGAGCTTGATGCAGAGAACACCTCGTAATGATCTCATTCTTAGCCATCCTGCGTTTCTGGCCTCAGGCAGAAAAGAGCAGGCTGTGTTTTCCTTCACTGTCCCCTGCTGGGTGTGTCTCCTGGTTGAGAACAAGGGAAAGATGACAACCCCAATACCCTACATATTTCAAGGAGTCCCTTAAAGCTCCATGGGGCATGGCCGTAGGACGGCCTTGGCCTCTGCCCCAGGAGCCACAAGAGACATAGAGACATTTTAACCATGTCTCTTTGGTGTTAGGTACACCAGTTTCTGGATGGGCAATGGAAGAAGTGGCACCATCTTATCCCTCCCCATCACCTCTAGTTTGGCTAATGCCTATCTTAGGCTCAATTATTTGGGGAAAAAGATTCTTTGATTCTGCTTTCTTGGTTGGGATTCTTTTCTGGTGCAAGTGACGCATACCCAGCTGTAAGGAGTTTAAGCAAAAATGAGGACTGATTGGTCCACACAATTGAACAGGCTGAAATCTCAGCGTGTGGGGAGTTCTTCTGGGTTGGCACTGGCTTCCTAAGGGACAATGACAGTTCTAGCAGCTCTGGCCCTCACCTTCCCTTGGGAATCGGAGCCCACACTAATGCCCCTCGAGTGGTTCTAAGATCATCCTAGGGTGCACTGGCTCTGTTGGGGGCGGGGGACTCAGTGCCTGTTCCAGGATTCTGACTGGCCAGGCCTGTCACCTCCCAGACCACAGAACAAAGAAAGAGGGGTAGAGGAGGGTGGTCTCCCTAGGGTTGTAGCTGCATGCCGCTACTAGGGCAAAGGGAACAGAAGTCCACTTGTGCGTCCTTGTGGAAATGCCAGAGGTGATGGGACGCAGGAGCAGACCAAGATGAAGAGAAGGGGCCGAGGGCAGCATGTAGGAACAGAGGGATCTGTGGATTTGAACCAGATCACTGGAGGAGAGGACAGAGGCAGAGAGTGCCCGAAGGCAGACCCAAAGACTGCCCCATGAATAGCCAGGAAGTTTAGAAAGGCAGCGAGGGAAGGAAATGGCAGAACCCAGAGAAAAAGCCAAAAGACGCATTGTGGTGTTCTGTGAAGATACAGGGCTCTGGAATCAGGGGACAGTGAAGGGCCTGCTTACAGCTGCAGTGTCTGAGGAGCCCAAGGGCCACAGTAAGGAGTGTGCAGCCTGCCGGAAGGCAGTGAGAAATGCGGGGGGTGGGGGGGGCAGGGAAAGATGCCCCACGGGGAGAGAGGAAAGATGGCAGCAGGAGTCAATGGTGTCGTGGGGAGGATGGGTCATAGAGCTCTAGGAACGGCTGGCAGGCAGGCTGGCCAGAGGCATATCTGCAACCATTGCTAAGTCTGAGAATGGGATCTAGGGGCCTGGGTGAGTAGAGACCAGAGGGTATTGGGATGGGAGCAAACAACTTTTCAACACACAAATATCATTAGGGGAGGAACCTCTTTGTTTCTGTAACATGGTACTGTTAATTCAAGGCAGTGTGATAACAGCGGGTTGCATGGTGGGAAGTAGACATCTAAACATCAAATGCATTTAAGATATACACACACATATATACACTTGTGCATGCATATTTACAAATATATGCATATACAATATACCATATGCACACCTGTATACACACATGTATACGTGTGCATGAAATGCATGTGGTGCACTCCCCTTGCATGTGCAGTTTCCTGATCAACATATGCATGCATCCACATCACCACCACTCAGATCAAGATGTGCATCACCCCTCCCACGGATGACCTCTGCTGTGACTTCTGTCATTGATGATTGTATCTGTTCTGCGGAATCCTGCAGCACACACCCCTTGGTCTGGCTTCTTTGCTGCAACATGATACTGAACAGATGCATGCAAGTTGCCAGTACCGGCAGTTACTGGCCCTATTTCAGACAGAGGATTCCATTGTCCATGTACCATAGTTTATCCATTCTACTGTTAATGGGGGCTTGGCTTGTTTGCAAGTTTAGAACGACTATAAATAAAACCTTTTTTATGTTTCCTGTAAAGAAATCACAGCCTCTCTCTTGCACAGTACCCGAGCCAGCTCCCTCTGGGAGAAGGTCAGGATGCTACTTTTCCTTTGCCCCACCCTCATAGGGGTGGGGAAGGCACACAGGTCTTCAGTCGAGCGGGCGGGGTAGCAGGGGGAGCTGCCGAGGGTGACAGGGAACGATACTATCCATCTAAGACACACTTTATCTGTTCCAGCTGCCTCGGTTCCCTGGCCACGGTTGCCGGCTGCCGGCGCCTTGAGCCTTCCCGACCCCGCAGAGGGCCTCGCCCGCGGCCGCCGATGAGCGCGCCCGGCTGAAGGGCGGGGTGGCCGCGGTGGAGCCGGCGCTGAGCAGCGGGGGCGGCGGGGCCATGGCCTCGCTGGACCTGCCCTACCGCTGCCCGCGCTGTGGGGAGCACAAGCGCTTCCGGAGTCTTTCGTCGCTGCGCGCGCACCTGGAGTACAGCCACACCTACGAGACGCTCTACATCCTCTCCAAAACCAATAGCATCTGTGACGGCGCCGCCGCCGCCGCTGCTGCCGCTGCCGCTGCTGCCGCCTCGGGCTTCCCGCTGGCCCCCGAGCCCGCTGCCCTGCTGGCGGTGCCCGGTGCGCGGCGCGAGGTCTTCGAGAGCACGTCCTTCCAGGGCAAGGAGCAGACGGCCGCACCTTCGCCTGCGGCGCCACACTTGCTACACCACCACCACCACCATCACGCGCCCCTCGCCCACTTCCCTGGCGATCTGGTGCCCGCCAGCTTGCCCTGCGACGAGCTGGCCGAGCCAGGCCTCGTGCCCGCTGCTCGCTACGCGTTACGCGAGATCGAGATCCCGCTGGGCGAGCTGTTCGCGCGCAAGTCGGTGGCATCCTCGGCGTGCTCCACGCCGCCACCTGGGCCAGGCCCTGGCACCTGCTCCGGACCCGCCTCTGCCTCCCCCGCTTCGCCCTCGCCTGCAGATGTGGCATACGAGGAGGGCCTGGCGCGCCTCAAGATCCGCGCGCTGGAGAAGCTAGAGGTGGACAGGCGGCTGGAGCGGCTGAGCGAGGAGGTGGAGCAGAAGATCGCGGGTCAGGTGGGCCGGCTGCAGGCCGAGCTGGAGCGCAAGGCGGCCGAGCTGGAGACGGCGCGGCAGGAGAGTGCGCGGCTGGGGCGCGAGAAGGAGGAGCTGGAGGAGCGCGCCTCCGAGCTCTCGCGCCAGGTGGACGTGAGCGTGGAGCTGTTGGCCTCGCTCAAGCAGGACCTGGTACACAAGGAGCAGGAGCTGAGCAGAAAGCAGCAGTGAGTAGGCCTGCAGGGGCGCTGAGGGTGGGCAAGTGTGTGCCTGTGTGTGCGCAAGTGCAAACGTGCACATGCACCGACTCCTCTGTTGCCCCAGCGAGCCTGGGTGTGTCTGAAGTTTCAGCCGTGGCTTTCGGTACTGGACAGATGGGGGCCATGAGTGTGGATAGTGGAACCAGGATTATGACTGTGGGCCTCTATGTGGCATCTGACTGCTAAGACTGGGTGTTTCTTTTCCTCTGATGATCCCAGCAAGTACCATGGCACCACATCCTCTTCTCACCTGACTACCCTTAACGCAGCTCAATTTTCTTCCTTTTCCATCTTCAGATCACCCCCAGCCCTGCACTCCCCTTGTGCTCCTCCTCCTGTGCGTACCGCCCCTAAAAGCAGGTGAAGCTGATGGCATTTCTCCCATTTGCTCCAACTCCACTTACCCTTTCCCATATGCTACTGCCCCATCTCTCCTCACGTAAACACTCCTGAACAATGTTGTCTATACCCATTGTGTTCCCTCTTGAGCCCACCTTGGGTCCTGTTTCCTTCTCTGCCATTGTCCTCATTGTCACTGGTGACGTCCATGTTGCGACGGCCATGTCCTGGTCTCCTTTGGCCCTTCAGTAGCAGGTGCCACGATGCATCTTCAAGGCTCCTCTGCTTGGCTCCCAGGATGCTGTCTCTAGGGAGCTCCTTTTGTTCATTCTCAGTCTTCTCTGCTGGCTTCTCTTTTCTGTGGCTTTTAAAGAAAAATGATGATTTACTTTCACTCTGTTTGAAAGAAAAAGAGAAATAGAGCTCTTCCAGCTGCCGATTCATTCCCCCAAATGCCTGCAACAACCCAAGGCTGGGCCAGGCTGAAGCCAGGAGCCTTCATCTCAATCTAGATCTAGTGGCAGGGACCCAGGGCACTTGTGAAACAGGGAATTAGAATTGGGCATGGAGGTGAGACTTAACCCCGGGCACTGAGGTGTCCCAAGCAGCTCATCAGCTGCTGTACCGAATGCCTGCCCCTTCTCTGGACTTCAGGTGTAGAATGATTTTGTTGTTGTCATTCATCTGTCCTCACCATGATACAAACTCCAGGGCAGAGGATGAGAGCATCAAAGCCATGAAATAATTCTCTTTCAATCTTTCAAATAAAATTGAGCTGCATTAACATTTTGAAATGATCCATATTCCCTGAAGACCAGGCTTTCTCCTGTTTTGTCCACTGCTCTGTCCCCGGCTCTGTGCCTGGTGCTCAGGAATCTTACAGGAGTGTATGTACAGCCATGGCTCAGGTAACTGCAGGTGCATGTGTTCGTGCTACTCCAGGAGGCCTACACGGGCTGAGCCATCGCATCCATTTCTCTTTGTGCAGTCACGTTTGTGTGCGTTGGAGTGTGTGTGGGACTGTGGCTCCCTGATTCTTCACATGTCAAGCTGAACACATGATTGAGTGGGCCTACATGTTGGGGTGTGTGCAGTGGCTGTGTGAGCCTGATAGAATTTTGTGTTGGGAGGCTGAAAATTGAGGCCACTAGCACCTGAGTGTGTCTGAGTTGTTGTGTGAGGTATGTGTGTGAAGTATGCTAGATGCAGACATATGGCTCTGGGTGTGTGCCCTGGGGCAGCTGTATGGGGCTGTGTGTTCCTGCTCCAGGGCTGGGGTCCATCTCTGTGTGTGCTGTGCTTGGTGAGGGGCCATGTGTTGGGCAGCTGCGCCCATGTTGGCCCCCTGCATTGCTAGCTAGGCTAGCCTGGCTCTCCTGCAGAGGGTTGGGGACAGCCTGGCCAGGCCCTGAGTGAGAGACTACTCCGGGCCCAGGGAGGTGGTGCAGATTGACCAGTTCCTGAAGGAGACAGCAGCACGGGAGGCCAGTGCCAAGCTGCGGCTGCAACAGTTCATCGAGGAGCTGCTGGAGCGGGCAGATCGCGCTGAGCGGCAGTTGCAGGTTATCAGCAGCAGCTGCGGCAGCACACCCAGCGCAAGCCTGGGCCGAGGAGCTGCAGGTGCAGGGACTCGGGGACCGGGACGAATGGTGAGTGCCCAGGGCCCTCCTTTTTCCCTTGCATACCAGCCCCTGTCCCACATGACCTAATGACTGACTCCCCATGCCTCCGCTTCCTTGGCTGCCCCTAGCATCCTGAGTAGGGATGCGAGACAGTAGTACAGGCCTGAGGCTGTGACCAGGGAGTCAATCCTGTGGCCATGGCTCTCAGATGCCCATCTTTGCCCATCCCTGCAAACCAGTGCCCGGGAGCCACAAATAGGGGCCAAGGGTTGCTGGCTGGGTGGAGGGATGGGGCTGCTGAGCTGGTCTCTCTGGACTGTCTATCTGTCCATTTGTCCATCTTTCCCAACTTTGTCCCTTCTCTCTCTCTCTTCCTCTTCTCTCCCCCTCTTACATCCTGGTTCTCCTGCCCCTTCTCACTCCCTTGTCTCCTCCACCTGCCCTTCTTTCCCCTCCCACCCTGGGGGCCCACAGCGAGAGCACCATGCAGGCCCAGCCGTGGCAAGCACGTACGCGGTGTCACGGCATGGCTCCTCTCCCAGCACAGGGTAAGCCTTGGCCCAGCCTGCCCCTCGCAGCCCACCCTCGCCCAGGGCAGCGCAACAAACCACACCTCTGGGCCTACCTTCCTCGGGTTCCCTTGTGACTGCCTTGCCGCACTCAAGGGCTTTTGGGGAGCAGGGCGGGGGGCTGGCCCTTGGCTGGTGATTGGGGTAGGATGGAGAGTTGGGGTAGACCTGGAGGTTCTTGACCCTCACCAACCTGTCTACCCCACACCAGGGCCTCCAGTCGAGTGCCAGCTGCATCCCAGAGCTCAGGCTGCTATGACAGTGACAGTCTGGAGCTGTCCCGGCCAGAGGAGGGGCCCCCTGAGGATGGTGGCCCTGGGGGCTTGGGCACCCGTGCCCAGACTGCTGTCAGTGGTGGTGGTGGCGGCTCAGAGCGCTCCCAGCCCCCTCGGAGCTCAGGCCTGCGGCGCCAGGCCATCCAGAACTGGCAGCGCAGGCCCCGCCGACATAGCACCGAGGGGGAGGAGGGCGATGTCTCAGACGTAGGCTCACGCACCACAGAGTCTGAGGCTGAGGGCCCCTCGGAAGCACCCCGCCCCGGGCCTGCGATGGCAGGGCCACTGAGCAGCTGCCGGCTCTCAGGTAAGTCCTGGGAGGGGGCACAGAGAGGCCTTCCCAAACGTGCTGGACCAGTTGTGGGGCTAGGGTGGGGACTTGCCTGGGCCCTTTGCCTCAGTTTTGCCCACCTCTTATACGGCACCCTTCACCAGCCTGGGGCAGGGATGCATGTGGCCAGGGAGGGACACAGCAGTGCCCAGGTGCTCAGGACATGGCATGCAAGAACACAACATAGAAGGGACCAGCGCCACTGTGGAGTGACTGCATGCACAGGAGAGTGGCAGACCCTGATGTCAGCTGTCAGCCTGGGGCATTGGGGACAGCCCCTTCCATCTGCACTCAGGTGTGCCCGGATGTGCACAGGTCAAGGGTTTAGGAGCCACTGTTTAAATTTTTTTTAAAGATTTATTTTTAAAAAATAAATAAATCTTTAAAGAGAAGATCTTTATTATTATTATTGTTGTTGTTGGAGAGGCAGATTTACAGAGAGGAGAGACACTGAAGGAAAGATTTTCCATCTTCTGGTTCACTGCCCAAATGGCTGCAACAACTGGAGTTGAGTTGATCCAAAGCCAGGAGCCAAGAGCTTTTTCTGGGTCTCCCACACAGGTGCAGAGTCCCAAGGCTTTGGGCCATCCTCAACTGATTTCACAGGCCATAAACAGGGAGCTGGATGGAAAGTGGAGCAGCCAGGACACAAGCTGGCACCCATATGGGTTTCTGGTGTTTGCAAGGGGAGGATTAGCTAATTGAGCCATCATGCTGGCCCTAAGAGCCACCCTTGAGAACATTTAGATGGTGATGTGGCACGGCTCCCGAAGCTACTGCTTGCCATGTCCTTATTGTATAATGAAGTTCCTGTATTGAACCCCAGACGTTGTACTTTGGATCCAGCTTCCTGCTGATACACACCCTGGGAGGCAGGGAAGGATGGCACCCCGGGTGGGAGGCCCAACTGGAGCTCAATCTGGCCCAACCCCAATGCCTGCGAATGTTTGGGGCATGAACAGGTGGAGAGAAAATCCTCTCTCCGATTTTCTCTTGATTTTCAAATAAAAATAGATGTTTTAAAAAAGGAAGACTCCCTGAGGAAGGGACACCCTTTGCTAATCTGTATTAGGGATGAGGCTACTGTGGAGGAGGAGCGAGCAGGGACCCCTTGTCCACCCCATGCCAAGGCACTTGCCTCTCCACTTGGGTCTTTGGTGCCCGTTTCCCCCCAAATCCTGCCCTTTCCGTCCTTGCATCCCATCCACATTCGTCCTCTGCCCTTTGACCCCTTGGTGTTCCGCAGCCCACCCAGAGGCAGGCAGTGGGCGAGGTCGGCGCGGCGACAGAGGCAGCCCGTCGCGCTCCAATGAGGTCATCAGCCCGGAGATCCTCAAGATGCGCGCCGCGCTCTTCTGCATCTTCACCTACCTGGACACGCGCACGCTGCTGCACGCCGCCGAGGTCTGCCGGGACTGGCGCTTCGTGGCCCGCCACCCGGCCGTCTGGACCCGGGTGCTGCTCGAGAACGCCCGCGTCTGCTCCAAGGTGCCTGCCCTTGCCCCCGCCCCGCTGCTGCACATCCACGTTTCCCACCTCTCAGGCAAACAATCTGGCACTACCAGGTCTGCTCCTGGCAACCCTTAGGGGGGAAAAAAACCCCTCAGTTCCCTGGGGCTGGCTCCGCCTCCAGTTAAGATCCCCTGTGCCCGCAGTTCCTGATGATGCTGGCGCAGTGGTGCACCCAGGCCCACTCGCTGACGCTGCAGAACCTGAAGCCCCGGCAGCGAGGCAAGAAGGAGAGCAAGGAGGAGTACGCTCGGAGTACCCGGTGAGGCCCAGGGCACCCAGGCGGGCAGGCAGGTGGTGCTTCTGGGCTGCCGCCGACCTGGAACAAAGCAGGGATGCTTCCCAGAGGAGGAGGTGGACACAAGCACCGCTTGGTCATCCCCAGGGGCTGCCTGGAAGCGGGGCTGGAGTCTCTGCTGAAGGCGGCCGGAGGGAACCTGCTGATCCTGCGCATTTCCCACTGTCCCAACATCCTTACCGACCGCTCTCTTTGGCTGGCCAGCTGCTACTGCCGTGCCCTGCAAGCTGTCACCTACAGGTGGGCACACTACCCTGGAAGCAAGGGCCCCAAGGGATCCATGGGCACTGCCCAGCTATCTCCCAGGGGTCTCAGGCAGCGGGACCCAAGTGCTGGGTGGCTCCAGGGCAGGAGGGCGTGGCAGCAGCAGAGGTTTCCAGGTGGGCAGTTTCAGCTTTGTCTGTCTCAGCAGGAGCGCCACAGACCCTGTGGGTCATGAGGTCATCTGGGCCTTGGGTGCAGGCTGCAGAGAGATCGTCTCCCTCCAGGTGGCGCCACTTCACCCCTGGTGAGCCTTGGCTGGGGTGAATGGCAGGGAGCCAGGGCTGCTGGGCAGATGGAGGCTTTAGGAGGAGAGCTTTAAACAGCAGACAGGGTATCCCTCTGAGGAACCTAGTCGTGTCTTGAGTTCTCACTGCAAAGTGAAGGTGATTACAGGGACCCACGGGCCATCTTAGGGTTGTGGCTGGCTCCCGTGAGAGCAGATACAAAGCCTGCAGAGAGCCTGCAGTCCGTGTTTCATGAACACACTGTTAAAAACAGCCAGGTGTGTTGGGCAGTTCAGGGAGGGCAGGTGCAGTGTGTAGGCAAGCTGATCATGTGAGAATCCAGGGCTACAGTTGTCTGTCCATCTGTCGAAGGATCTTATGCAGGGAGTCATGGCCAGACTGGGTCTGCTGGCAGGGTGCTGTCTCCACCGCACCCTTGGGGCCTTGCACTGGTGGCTCGCAGGGAAGAGGGGCGCGAGGGGATGAGGGAGGCAGGCATGGTCAGGTTGGCTGTGAGGCAGAATCTGCAGGGTGTGGGAGCAGGTCCGTGGGGGAATAGTGAAAGATGACCCCTGCTTTCTGACTGGACCAGCTGGGTTGTTGGTAGTGGAGCACTTGGCTGAGGCCGAGAGGGGTCCCAAAGCAGGCATACGTGGGGTAGGGACCCGGAGTTCCCTGATGCCTTTCTCTCCTTGTTCTCCAGCCAGCAGCCCACACGCTTCAGTAACCGCTGCCTGCAGATGATTGGCCGCTGTTGGCCGCACCTCCGGGCCCTGGGGGTCGGGGGTGCTGGCTGTGGGGTACAGGGCCTGGCATCACTAGGTGAGTCTTTTGCCTTGGGACTGTGGTGGGGAGTGGCGAAAAGTGGGCATGGATCCAATACTGTTCTGTGAAATGGCACATGGACCTGTGCTGGGGGCGGGGGATGGGTGAGAGTCCCCTTGACCTTGGGAAGGGGTGACCTGAGGAGCTGGTCAGCAGGTCCTCCCTTGTTCCTTTTCCTAGCAAGAAACTGCATGCGGCTACAGGTCCTGGAGCTGGACCACGTGTCAGAAATCACCCAGGAGGTGGCGGCCGAGGTCTGCCGGGAAGGCCTGAAGGGCCTGGAGATGCTGGTGCTCACAGCCACGCCTGTCACCCCCAAAGCCTTGCTGCATTTCAACAGTGAGCCCTGGGGGCTGGGGGGAGGATGCACTGGTACTGCGGCCACCCTGGCGTGGGCTTTGGTCTGCGCTTTGCCACCATTGCCTGCTGAGGCTGGTGTGGCGCTTGGGGTCCCTCCAGCGTCTGGTCTAAATAATTCAGCTCAGCAGAAATGTGTTGCCCTGTGTGCTGCCCATATTAGTGACATGGCCTGTTCAATACCCTCCATGAGCCTTGGGCATGCAGCACAGGTGGAATGACTGAAAAGCACAGATTTAGGATCGGGACTGCCCTAGTCTCCATTGCAGCTTATTAACTGTGTGACTTTGGGCAAGTTACTACTCCTCTCTGAATGCTGTGTTCCTATCTTCCAAGCTGCAATAAGTGGGAAGATTAAACAAGGAGCATAAGCCCCTTGCTCACCCCTTGCTTCAGGGCAGTTCCTTGGGGGTAAAGACTAGTCTCCCTGGGCTCCAAATCACATTCCTTTGCCCCCCCACACTCCCTCCCTCGGACCACCCACTGTGCTCACACTCTCCCCCCCCCCCCGCCCCCGCTGCCCTCTTCACTAATGACCTTAGGTGCTGGGCTCAGGGTGTTCTTGACCAAATGGTCCTGGGCCGTTGATCAGGACAGATTGACACCAGGTGACCCCATGCTTTGGCCTTGACTGTCTTGCCATCTTCTTCCTGTTCTTTAGTCTTGTGACCTCCAAAACTGACTGCTCAGCCAGCAGTCAGGGCCCCTTGGCTTTGGACTGTGCTCCAACCGCAGCCGTCTCTCCTGTCCCTCAGCCCTGGGGTCTGCCTTGTGCCCACCTACTGCTCAGCCTTCACCTTGCCTATCTTTCCCCAGGCATTTGCCGAAACCTCAAGTCCATTGTGGTCCAGATAGGGATTGCTGATTATTTCAAAGAGCCCAGCAGCTCTGAGGCCCAGAAGCTGTTTGAGGACATGGTGACAAAACTCCAGGTGAGGGGTTCAGCTCTGAGGCCACCCAAGCCTCCCCACCCCAGAGGGTGGGGCCTGGGTGTAGCCCAAGGGGTGACTAATCCAGGGTTCGGTCCACAGGCCTTGCGACGGCGACCTGGCTTCTCCAAGATCCTGCACATCAAGGTGGAAGGTGGCTGCTAACCCGGGTGGGGGGCGGCAGGGCCCCTGCCGGCCCCACAGCAGGGCGTTCTCTTGGAACCTCTGGAGGAACCTTGGTTTGGACTGGACCTTCGGAGGCCTAGTGTTACCCTGGCTTCCAGGGAGGGGTTGAGTTTCCTGTCCTCCTCCTGGACCATTGGAGCAACAGGTCTGACCTGGGGCGGGGGCTTGGACAGAGGCTACCCTCCGACCCCCACCCTTCCCCCAGCTGGAGCAGCCTTCTGGCACAGTCCTTGAGGAGCTGTCCCTACCAGCACCTGGGATCATCGCCCGAAGGATCTGCAATAACCACCCAGGGGCTCCTCAGCTGTCCAGGCAGGCTGCAAGCCAGAGGATACTCCACAGGCAGCTCAGACACGGAAGGGGAAAGGGCCTTCTGCTCCAACCTAGAGCCCTTCCCCAGCCCTCTGTGGGCTCCCCCTTCAGGCAGCCTGCTCCTAGTCCACCTTTTCTCTGAGTAATAGTGGCAGGCTGGGAGCCCAGGCATGTGGTCAGCTGAAAGCTAGTGGGGGCACCAGAGGGGAGGATAGGAAGATGCTAGGGAAGGGAAAATAGTCACCCAACAACTTGTCCCCAGGATGAGAGCATCCCTCAGGGGGGCTGGAGGCCCAGTGGAGAACACTCACATGTGGCTGTGGGAAAGGCAAGCCCATCGCTCTTTGACCCACGGCATACCCTACTTGCACCAGGACAGAATTCAGAGCTTGAAAGATGCATGTTTCTAAGCCTGCCATTCATTCCAGAAGGACTCTAGAGGGTTGAAATTTCAGCCCTGGGGAGCTTGGTCAGCCTTGGCAAGTATTTTCTGTCTTGAGGGGTTTCCCTTAACCCAGGAGTGCAGCCAGGATAGGATGGTTTTTGGGTCTTCAGGCTGTACTGTATTCAGGGGCTGGAAGAAGCTGTGAGGGCCAGACCTGCCTTGCTTCAGTGTCTATTGTTGGCTGCTTTAAGACATGAGCTTGGTGGGGGACCAGGGGAGAGGAGCATCCTCAACAGATCCTCTCCTTTGCTTAAGGCTCCTCCCCTCAGAACTACGGCAGCTCAGAGGCTATAGGTCCTGCCAGCTCTCCTTTGGGAAGTTCTTTCCAGTATCTAACCTAGACCCTCCTGTGGGCTCCCTTCTCTCCTGCACGGAATTGGCTCTCCTCCCTTACCCAAAGAGCTGAGTCTAGTTGTGACATGAAGGCCCAAGTCTAGGGCATCCTGTTGAGCCCTCGGAGCTGGGGCTTAGCTGTGCCCCCTGCTCCTCAGACACTACTGCCTCGCTCTAGCTCAGCTCCCTTCACTGCTGCTGACCTTTTCTCCTGTGGCTTTTTCTGTTCCTGCTGTTTGAAGGCCTGAAATACCGAGAGTATCACGTTGGCCATGCATGAGGCCTTGGCTGTGTGTAGGAAGAAGCACAACTCTCCTTTCCTCCAGGGGTCTGGAAGCAAGGTGGAGGCCCACTCTGGGTCCCTGGAGCCCCTGCTGCTTGTGACCCCAAGACTATAGAGGTGCTGCCCTCCCTGTCTCTTGGACAAAGCACAAAGGGGTGTTCTGCTTGGTGTGAGCTGGTGGGCAGGGAGGACTTTTCTTGCCCTAGAGAACCTCCATCCCTGAAGGACAAGGCTCTGGGCTGTTTCTTCCTGGGTGGTGTCCACGGGATGCCTTGTGTCAGCCCTGGGAAAGGCGAACAGGGTACATGAGCGGTGAGCTAATGTGGTGCTAAGAGGACTGATGGCAGAGGCTCATTCATTCATTTGTGCACCACCAGCAAGAGGAGCTGAAAGGTGAACAAGTCCCACTTCCACGGGTTTTTCCTAGGAAGCCCACTGAATCCTTCATCCCATTTTCTTGCTCTGCGAGAACATGTGGGAGTACAGAGTGCACAGTCCCAGTGCTCGCCAATGCAGTGACAGGTCACAGTGCTTCCTGCTGCACAGCCACCACTGGACAACCTCCAAGCACGCTAGCTTCCGTGCACCCCCAAGAACTGGCAGCTTTGCAGTCCCCTGCCTGGTGCCCTCTCCCAATCTGATGCTGTTCTTTTAAGTTCTTGCTTGTTGAGATTCTCCTGTGGGATACTTGGCACGCCTAGGAGTACCCCCTGCTGCCCTCACTCTCCTCACAGGGAGCCCATACTATCTTCTACTTGAGGAAGACACAAGAGGAATATCTGGAATAGCAAACCGTGGTAGGCCCTGCTCCAGGGCCCCCTGGGTTGTGCAGCGACAGTGGTGGCCACTCTGTGTCCTTTGTGGTCTGGTCCCAGTCCCCAGCTGCTCCCCCTCAGCAGCAGTGGGGCCTGAAGATGCCAGTGTGCATCCCTACCCAGAACCACAGTTTCTGCTGGCCAGGAGCAGCTGCCTAAAGGGTTAAGGCTGCTCATAGTTTTAGTCCAGAGATATTCCAGTTTGAGCCAGTCCCTCAGGAATTGCTGCAGGAAGGGCCACTGTGCAAGGTCTGGCCATCCTTTGCCTTTGGGTGCCGCGGCTCCCCAGTCCTGATTCGTGATCTTTTAGGTTCTAGGTCCGGAGCTGCCTGCACCCCCAAAACCCTCCAAGGCACTAAGTGGAGACTTTCCCCAAGTGACTGTTGGTGCCAAAGACCACATTCCTGGTAAACTTGGGAACCAGGAACTGGCGAGCGGTGTGGAGCCTAAGTGCCCAGAGGAGCTTCTGAAGGCAATGGCATCTGTCCAGTGCACTCCTGTGGAGTCTCAGCCCTGGCACTGCTCTCTGCCCCTGGTGGCCATGCTGAACCACCAAGCCCTGCATTTCTGTATATATTGCTGTGTAGTGTGTGTATTTATTCCTGGACAAGTGTGTTCATCTGCAGCCCTCATCTGGGTGAAGATCAGCATACCAGGGCTAAATTAGGCAATTTTCCCCCTAACCCTTTGGGACCTTAGCCAGTCCCAAGACTGCCCTGACAATCAGGCAGGCTCCCCACCATGAGGCCAAGCCTTCTAGGTCTCAGCCAGCATGGCCCCAGGGAGGCTGAGTTCTGGGCCCCGCCCCCCAACTTCACCTGGGACCCAGCAGGAGTCTTGTGTCCAGGGGCAGAGGTAATCAACTAGCCGCTGGACCCTGCCTTGCCAACAGTCAGGCTATGGCTAGCCTGGTCTGACAGGTAGCTTCTTCCCCCTACCCCAAGCACACCAGGCAGAGGGGTGGGGAGCAATTTTTGTTTCTTTTGTTTCTCAAGTGGTGCCTGTACCTCCAGCCCCCAGGGGCCTTCCCTGGCCCCACTTCCCTGCTCAACCTAGGCATCGCCATCCCAGCACTTTGCTCCACTTCACCCAGATGCCCTTTGCTGAATGTACCTGAGTGTATGTATTTAAAAGGACTCATGTGGGCGCCAGAGAATTTATTGGCTCTGTATCCAATAAAAGATGTGAAACTGGCCTGTATGTTCCAAGAGGTGAATGGTATGTAACTCCGCTTGTTCGTGTCACCTCAGCTTCCTATAGTTGAGTGCACAGTGGGAAGCAGAAAGTTCTGTCAGTGAAGAACCAAGATTGGCTCAGGACTGCATGGCTTGCATGTCCACATCCAAACAGGCCTTGGCACGTGCCATTTCTGACTCTCAGCTGGGACAGACCATCTAAGGGCAAACAGAGTCTAGTGAGTACAGCACTGGAGCTCTGGACAGCCAGCCAGGCTTTATTCTAGGGAACCCCAAGTGTCCATGACCACCTGGTCTTGACTTCAAAAAAAGATCAGGTGTGTGTGCAGAGTTCAACTGGTTCTTTTCAAACATGAGGCAAACAATGAGGATTTTACAAATAAATGGAAGTTAAGCCCAAAACTTGATCTACTTTTTAAACCACCAATTAACGAGGGGTGCAGACTTCAAGGCTTGGACCTGCCCGTTGCCTTGTGCTTTCCAGCCCAACTAACCAGGATAACCAGGGTCCTGAGTCCTAGCTTCAGGCAGCAAATGTTTCAGTGATTGATGGTGGTAACCGTTCCTCTCCAGCTGCCAACAACTACTCGCTACAGCTAAGTTCAAATCAGCCATCAGGATTGGCTCAAAGGAATGGGCTGCTAGACCCTGCGAGGTTTCCAGTCCACCAGTGCTGGCCAAAGGGGTAACCCCCCAATCTCAATCTCCCTTGAAGGGTCACCAGAGTGGAGAGGATGTGACATTTCCAACATCTCTCCTAAGGTCCTCAGCCTCAAGATCTGGAGTAAGAACATAGAGTATGAAGGCAGAAGGCACAGAAAGTTACTCTGACAGCCCTACCTAACCATGTCAGGGATAAGCATGATCCTGTTAAGAGCTCCAACTCCATTATGCCACTTCCAAGGCCAAGGATGCAGCTTTGGTGAAGTTTCCAGATGGGAACCACCACTGCAGGGCTCAACCCAGGATTATTGGAAGACCTTTTTTTTTTAAACCTATTTGGCAAGTGATTGCAAAGCAACAATTTGTTACAAACATTTGAGTAAAATTACTGTGCCCAAATAATTTACAGTTAGCTCTAAATGTTAAGTTTTATTTAAATACCCTCCAGTGAGAACCGAATGGGTCAATTACTATCCCTTCCTTCTCACAGCAACTAACCAAGCTAGGGACAGCAAATGTACCCAGTTGCCAGCCAGATGAGAGGGTGTCTCTCAATGGGGACGGCCACGGCCACGACCACGGCCTGCTGCTGGGGGATTATCCACAGTTGAGCGGGGATTCTTGATGGTTTCATCTACGGACACGATAAGGCAAGCAGCCTCTGAAGCTGCTGTCAGGGCATTGATGCGCACCATAGCCGGCTCCCACACAAAGGCCTCAAAGTTGTCAGCAATATCCTCGTTGTTGATGTCCACCCCGTACCATGTGCCACCCTGAAACAGCAACACAAAGGAAAGTGATATGGAACTGTTCTGACTACAGAGGCACCTCCAAAGACAGACTGTTAAGAACCCTTGAAATCTGAACTAGACAAACTTGCCCCAAGACTCAGCATCCCCCCATGGCTTTACTACAGAAACCTAGAGATTCTCCTTCCCACGTTTGCTCCTGCCAGTCACTCCCTTCTAACCCTGCACATGCTGATCACAGAAAAGCTTGAGCCCTCTTCCAGGCAAGCTGCTGTGTTTCCAGTTCTGGCACAGCTGCTTTCTCTACCTCCAGAGGCAGTCACCCAGCTGGTGCTAGGCTGACTTCCAGCCCGTCATTCAGGCTCAAGGGACACAACACAATTCAAAATCCAGTCCCATTCAACCCAATCCTTGGACCTTGAAGAAGAGGACCCACCTGGGCATGCCGTGCCCTCAACTTGTTGAGGATGTTTGTGGCATCGAAACCAGCATTGTCACACAGCTGGCGTGGGATAATCTCCAAGGCCTTGGCATATGCCCCAATCAGCAGCTGCTGTTTCCCTGGAATAGTCCTTGAGTAATCCCGCAGGTATTTGGAAAGCTCCATCTCAATGGCTCCTCCACCAGCCACTACTGAATCGTTCTGCAAAGATCAAAACACCTTTAGACACAACCAGGTCCACAGTCCAAGCTCCAGCCGAGGGTGACTCCTCATTCTCCCATAATCTAGAACCCCAGACACAGCCCCTTACTGGTCCATCCCAAATTCAACAGGTTGAACTTTACGGTTTCTGACCATCATGGTGCTTTGTAGACACACACTGCACAATCCTGCAGTGGCTGTCGACAGTGGCGCCACAGTGTACTGGCCAGACTCTGCCTTAAGGCAGCAGGTCCTGTTTGAAAGATTATCATTTGTGGAACATACCACGCCCACATGCCACCAGAAAGGGCAGATTAGACAACAAAGGACTCATCACACAAACCCAGGGTTTAGTTAGAGAGGTAGAATAGGTGGCCAGGAAGGAGGCCATCAGCCAGTACCTTGATGGCCCTCCTGACAATCATGATGGCGTCATGCAGGGACCGCTCTGTTTCCTCCATAAACTGCTCAGCACCACCACGGAGGATGAAGGTACACGTCTTGGCCTTGGGGCAACCAGTGAAGAAATTGTACCTGTTCCCAGGATCAAATCACACAGGTGAATTCCCTGCTGCTGCTAGCTTACTGCACCCATTCTCTCCACCAAGCCCTCCCAAAATATGCTGGCAGTTCAAGTGTGTACTCAGGTTGTCCAATCCAACCTGAAGGACATTTACTTGTGAAGCTCTGGGATACTAACAACTATGGAGTCAGACTTCTGAGTCAACTAGATCATCTTCCCTCCTGCAACACTCTATGTATGAGTGTTTATGCTCCAAAACGTGAGAACTCAAAAGAACACACACACTGTATCCCATGCCGCAAAATGGCAGGAGGCCACTCACTTACCTCTCGCCTCCAATCTGGGTTTCTTCGAACACTTGGCAGCGGCCCAACACGTCTGGTGTCAGAGCATTCACGCTGGTCTGGATGGAGCCTCCGCAGGCCTGGGAAGCAGAGAAGGCATGACCATCCAGCAGAAAGGCTCACTATGAAGGCAGAGTCAGTCTCCTACCTACTGGTCTCAGAATCAGTTCCCATGCTGGACTGGGGTGCCCAGAGCCCACTGCATTCAAGAGCTCATCCTTTCCCTAATCTTCAAAGTAATCCTTAACTGTCCTTGAAAGAGCAGAAACAAAAAAGAACGAAGACACTTGAAGGATCAACAGGCTTAGTTAAGATGATACTGGCTTCACTTCAGCCTTACCTCCCTACTCCAAACAAGGGTGCTGTGGGGGGGCCCCAGTAAGCAACCACAGGGCAGCACCTTAGACTCAGTAAAACTATCTTTTGTGAGATGCTCAAGAAAGGAAGACATTTGGCTAGAAGCATCACGCCTTGAGCTTGAGCAGCTGATGGTAGTGTTTCTGCCAGATGTTCTCATAAACCAGATTTCCCTCCCAATTTGCTGTGGTCAGACTATTTTTAAGCAGTTTGTAACACCAAAAAGAGCAACAAAACAGCTAAGGAGATGGGGCTGCATTCACACATCAGTCCTTCTCCCAGGGCCATGCAGACCAGCAAGTGGGGTGAAAAAAATCTGTTTACCATCATCGTCCTCTTTAGATCCTCCTCAGGCACCCGGCCGGCACAGAACATGTCCCTGTCTGCAAAGTACTGGGTGGCCACATCTCCAATGGGGAGTTTGGATAGGATGACTTTGGCTCCTGATTGATGGATCTTCTCTAACTTGTCATAGAGAATGTTCCACTCTGCGTCAACAATTGCCTGATAATCCTGAAAAGACACAGAAAAAGCAGAAAGTCACCTTGGAACTAGTAGCTACACCAGAGTTGACACTACCAAGTTGTAAGAAACAGTTGAGTGTGAGTGAGTTCTAGCCTCTCCTAAGGGTGCTGTGCCCCATGGAGTTCCCAATGACAAAACCCCTTCACCCCGATGGCCGTCTTTTCCCACATGACAGCCTAGAGGAAGCCCTGAAGACAGAGGCTCAGGTGCAGTTTGAGATCTGGTCTAGAAGAGGAGCAGCATACATCTGCCTAAACAAGGTTTAGCAAAGTGCTGGACAGACTGTGGCTACAGAGGCCGTGCCAGCCTTGATTCCAGGGCCACAGTGGAGCATTTCAATAGTTTCCCAATCCAATTTCCTCAGGCTGAGGTCCCTCAGGTGACAATACAGAGTAGTATTTAAACATCACTATTCAGAGACCCACAGGAGCCTAAAAGGCAGAGCTGTGCCAAAGACAACCACAAAGACCCAAGGCTCTGACCCAGAAAGCTGCCCTTTCCATGCCACCCCCAGCCTGCTGGGCCTACCTCAACTGTGTGGACTCTGATTTCAGCATTATCCTTCTCGGCTTTCAGCTCAAGTTCTACATTTAAAAGGGCAATCATGGGATTATTGTACTTTTTAGGTTGCATTTCAAAACCAGCGTAAGAGAACGTTTTCTTGAATGCAACACCAGCCACCAGCTGAGACTCCTGTTAAAAAAAAAAAAAAAAAAGTTGAAAAGCATGGAAAAAAAAATTAAGTTGGTAGTTGGCTGGGCTAGTGCTTACCCATTCCCATGAACCAGAAAGAATAAACTAGGTCTTACCAGGTCTTTATCTCACTGTCCAAACAAAGACATTTCATTTCAAAATTTGAGGGACAATCACCTTGAATAAGGCAGAAATTATCTAAGATTATCTCCTTCCATCTCCCAACTCTCACACTCAAGTCTCCTCCCACACACATTCTCACACCCCCAAACGCACACCATACAAAATCTGCTGCAGCCTGAATACTGCCTCGCTCTAGATAAGAACAAGAAATGCCCAGCAAAGTCACCATCATGGCTTCTTCTAGGTCCACAATAGAAAGGGGATTCAACAGCAGGATATAAAGGAAAGCATTCTGCACTCACTAAGTCTTGGATTCAAATCTCAGCTCTCTAAATGGTTTGGCTAAATGGCCAAACCATTCCTCAGCTCCACAAAAAAAGGTAATTCTGCGCCAGCCGGCTGGTTCAACTGGGTAATCCTCCACGTCCAAGCCCATATTCCATATGGGCGCTAGCTCTAGTCCCAGCTGCTCCATTTCCCATCCAGCTCCCTACAGTGGCCTAGGAAAGTAGTAGAGGATGGCCCAATGCCTTGGGAACCTGGCTCCTGGCTTTGGATTGGTTCATTTCCAGCTGTTGAGGCCATGTGGGGAATGACACAGCGGATGGAAAATCTTTCTCTCTCTCTCTCTCTGGAAATCTGCCTAATAAAAATGAGTCTTAAAAAAACAAACAAACAAACAGACAAACAAAAAAACAACCCAACATTGAAATTCTTTCAGTTTTTTCATAATATGCATCCCATGAACTTGTGGATTTAAAAATATTTTGCAGCAAAGCAGGTTAGTTGTTTTATTTTACTTTGTATCCTTTGTCTCCAATTCCTGCATCACTCAAATTCAGAGCCTAGGTGGGTAATACCTAAACAGAATCATGGATGTGTAGAATTAAAAAAAAAAAAAAAGAGTTGTTCCAAGAGGTGGGGAGTGGTGTTTTGGAGTTAGAGAATGAAAAGCTATTCAAAGTCACTAAGATACTAAATCGAGGGCAGGGACCAGCCAGGGAGGGTTGTAGAGGGAGAAAGAAGAAGGTGGGCAGAAATGATACCACTGTGAGAAGGAATACAGAACACAAAACAGTGAGATCTTCAGCAGTCAGACACTGTTGGGGGCTAAGGAGTTAATAGCGTTTGTTAAGCTGAGCAGTAATAAGAACTGGGCTTGCGGCTACAGAAGCAGAGGCTGAACTGTTGACTCTGCAAAACAGGTTTCTCCTGGACTCATTTCCAGACTGAGAAGAACTGGGCTCAGCTGCATGCAATTTCTTCACTACAGGACTTTGTGGGAAAGGCCTACAAGGCCAGGTGAATGTGTAATAAAGAGACTTCTACCATCACTGGTCTCCTTTCAGTGCTTCATCCCCAGACCTTCTCCCTGCCCACGTTGCTAGCTCCGCTGGACGGAGCAAGATAGAGCGCCAAGAGGCTCGAGTAAGACTACAGACACCAGAAAGTCCCCTGGAGTTACTCCTGATAATAAGCAAGCAAATACTATTATCATTTATTGAATTCTGGATCAGGCTTATGTTAAAAATTTTATATTCATTTAATGAATTTGGATAGACTAGGGAAAAGGCAGTGTGTCTTGGAATGCCTTTCCTTCCAGATAAGATTATTTGTTTTTGATACTAGTTAAATGGATACAAACCTGATCTAAAGGAAAGCCCGACGTGAACAGCCATTTCATGCATGTATCTGCCTGCACAAATCCCTACAGGCTGAGGTCACTGAAGCATAATAGAGTAAACGCAGCAAAGCCCAGAGACATCAATATTTTCAAAGCAAAGAACATCTCCAGATCTACAATACCATATCCAAAAAAGTGCTACAGCTGGTGTCCTCATATTGTAGTCACAAGCCACATGCTGCCTCAGGTGCCATCAACTCATTTTCAGAGGCTCGGTAGTCACATGTGCATAGGGTTATGATACTGGACAGCACACCCAGGTAACATTTGTAACATCCCAAAAGGCGCTACAGGACAGCACTAAGTTCAGAGCTACAACAGGGGTAGCCGTTGTGGCGTGGTGTGTTAAGTTGCCATTTGAAATGCCTGTATCCTGCAACTGGTTCAGTCTATGGCTAACGTGCTTGGGAAGGCAGCAGATGACAGCCCAAGTACTTGAATCCCTGCCAAACCTAGATGGAATTCCTGGCTCCTGGCTTTGGCCTGGCCCAGCCCTGGAACAGCATTTCAGGAGTGACCCAGCAGATGGAATACTCTGACTCTGTCATTCTGTTTCGTGAATAAGTAAATCTTAACAAACAAAGCACAAAAACTCACAAAAAAAACACTGTTCGTGCTAATATAAACACATTTTTGAGAACATTAAAAAGCATAAAATTAAGCATTACTAGTGATCATTTATTTATATATTATCTATATGCATGCTTGTATATGGACAAAGTAATTTTGGAGGAACACATGTAAATTCATAAAACTGAATACAGGGGCAGATACCTTGTTGCAACAGGTTAGGGGACGCCATTTACCCATATCAGAGTGTCAGAGTTGGAGTCCTAGGCACTCCCTGGTTATTTCCCACTTATGCAACCTGGGAAAGTAACCCACGATGTTGGGTCCATGTGGGAAACTTGCATGAAGTTTCTGGTTCCTGGGTGTGGTCTGGCCTGGCCCTAGCTGTTGCTGCCATTTGAGCAGTGAACCAGTACATGAAATATTGAGGCCCTCTCTGCCTCTCCCTCTCAAATACATAAATTAATAAGTGTTTAAAAACAGTGACTGTACAAAAGGCTGGGTGGTAAATGGGCCACTGTATTTTGGGCGTTTTTTAGGCAGTTTAAACTATGTATCTATTTAAGATACAAAAATTAAAAAGGGACAACACGATCTTATCTCCCACAAGATTGAATATGGGCTGAAAAAGGCCTGTAGGGGTAGTGTGGCTGGCCCTACCCCTGCACTGCACCCACACCTTAACACAGAGAATCTTAGAATTTAAAAATCAACTAGTCCAACTTTCTATTCTGCTGACAAAGACCCACAGCAGCTACAAAAGATATCCATGGGAAGTTTAGCCCAAGTCTGGCTTCCAGTGCATGCTCTCTCCCCATGCACTCTGTCCTCCTCCCACAATGCTGTCTAATGGTGATGTTCACTGTGAAAGCCAGGGGCTGAGCGGTGAAGCAACAGCAGGCTTACCTCTAAGGCTCCACCTTGGACCTTCTTGATTCCAATCATTTTAAGCTGCAATAAGTCATCGAGCATCATCACCGCATCAACTACCATCTTAGCAAAGAAGGCTTTCTGCTGAGAGATCAGCTTGGAACTCAGGGCTGTCATGGCACATTTTTCCAGCAGCTTCCTCTGCTCCCTGCAACACAAGTGCACAACCTACATCAGGTTTTGAAAACCAAGCGCTGCTTACCTGATTATTATTATAACAGGAAGGCGGATCCTTTCCAGCCTCTAAATTCAGTCCTCTCCAACTTGACCTTTTGTATTTTTATATGGCCAGATTACTAGTGACACATGGAGACTACAGATCTCACATGACAGCTTTTACACTGCAGTCCATAGCCCCATTTGTACTGTGTGACCTAGAGAACAGCAAACAGTCTGGCAAGAGCCAAAAGGCTCCAGGTCCATGTAAGGACTACAATATGCTGCTGTATCCAAACTGACTACAAGAAGTTAAGTTTCTGGCAAAATTCACTAGAACTTACACTTTATCTTGCTTCTTCACAGTCACAGCAATCTCTTTGATCTTGTTAATGGCCTGTCAAGAACAGAAACTGAGTGAGTCTCTAAGGTTAAATCAGACAGTGAAGGCGATCCTCTATCTCTCACTACTTGCTGATCGTCAACTCTTATCCATTTCCGTTCTATAGCTAGAACTAGGTGGATCTTATAACTGCCCAGAAAACAAAAGAAAACAAAACTACAATAGTTCAGCAAAACCCCACAATTAGAAATGTAGAGCAGGGATACAGCTTTGAAGAGTACTAGGGTGCTTCCATAATTAGCTCTGGACCCACAGGTAAAACACTACAACAGATGAGTGGGAGACAAGGTATGACGTGAGAGCAGACCAAACCTCCTGGCCCTCTAAAAACACCTGTGAGAGGTTCTAGCATGTATTAGCTATAGTTAACATACATACCAATATACAGTCAACTTTTTAATCTTTTCTAAAGAACACCTCAAACATAATCTCATTTTAATGTCACTAATTGAAACAGAGATAATAAAACAAGAAAAAGACTCAAAAAGGATTAAGTGACTTGTGCCAGGTCACAAGATGAAGATAAAAACAGGCATGCCTGTGGATGTGTATTGAGGTTCTTGATAAACAAAAACAGCTCCCATAAGGGAGCCACTTGGCCCAGGGGTTGAGCTGCCTGGGTTCAACACTCATCTTTGGCTTCTGACTCCAAAATCCTACTAATTACAGACTGACGAGTAACACTAATGGCCCCATAGCTGGGTTCTTTCTTGCCATCCTCATTGGGGACCTGCACTATGATCCTGTCTCCTAGCTTCACACCCCATACTTTCCTCTCCACTGTGGGCATTTGAAGAGTGAACCAGCAGATGGCAATTCTTGCTCTCTGCCTTTCAAGTAACTATTTCAATTAAAAGCCAAAAAACAAAAGATATTGCTCTAAGATTCTATGTCCACATCACACTCTATAATAGATTGACCTTTTATGAATGAAAGAAATCAATGCATCCGGTTGAACAGCTATCAGAAGGTAGGTAAAACAGATTCCTAGAAGTCAGAAATGCCCAAGGACACCTGTGTCCCAGTCCCCGACACCTCAGTAAAGCATTATCCTCAATACAGCAATATGAAGGTGTCAGGCCCAAGGAAAAGTTAATGAGTACTCCCATACCAACTGGGTGGCTGTGCGGAAAGCTTGGATGATGATCTGGGGGTGCAAACCTTCCTCCACATATGGTTTCACCTGCTTTAGAAACTCTGCAGCCAGCAGCGTCACTGAGGTGGTGCCATCGCCAACCTGGAAGATAGGAACTATGTGTTTGCTGATGTATAAGGGCAAAGCCCTAAATCTGCATTTTCTAGGCAAACTAAAGTTCACTTAAAACTGAGCATTATATAATTTCAATCAGGCTTTCTTTTTTTTCTCTTCCACCCCCGCCTACCCTGAAAACACAGGTTATTTTTCAACAGTCAGAAAGAAGATGATGGTAGTTAGCTCTCTCTCTTGTCAAAGGGTCTTAGGCCACAAAATTAATTCTCCAGAAAGCTCCATTTTCCAAAGACAGCCAGCAGTGACAATCATATGACATCACATTCACAACTGAGAATTTATTAAGCACAAGACTTCGAGATAAAAGTTCTTCTGCTCACAGTGCAATGTTTATTTTAGGTTACAAATAACCATAGCACCTGAAAGTTTGACATAAATATTCTTTAGGGAGCACCAAGTACTACAGGAATACCCAGCTTAACTTCCCAGGACTACCCAAAATTTGTTATTCAAAATAAATAATTACTGGCTCATGATCTTGTTCAGGTAATGCTTTTCCATGATGGAATTTTTTTTTTTTTGGAAAGGCAGATACAGAGAGGAGGAGAGACAGAGAGGGAGATCTTCCATCCGATGGTTCACTCCCCAAGTGAGCATAACGACTGGAGCCGAGCCAATCCAAACAAAGCCAGGAGCCAGGAGCTCTTCTAGGTCTCCTACGCAGGTGCAAGGTCCCAAGGCTTTGGGCCGTCCTCCACTGCTTTCCCAGGCCACAAGTAGATTGCTGGATGGGAAGCATGGCTGCTGGGATTAGAACCGGTGCCCATATGGGATTCCGGCACATGCAAGGCAAGGATTTTAACCACTATGCTATCATGCCGGGCCCTATGATGAAAATTTTTAATGAGGGAGGAAAACAACCAATTTTTTAAAACTGGCTAACTTCTCATTTGAAAAGAATATACTATTAACTATATTTTTATTTTAACTTTTGTATAGGGTAAGAAAATCTCAAAGGGAAAAAAAATGGTTAATGCTGCCAGATTTTTAGACAGAAGGTATATTTCCCTTATAAAGACAGCAACAATTCCAATCAGTTCTTCCCACTTTACTTATATATAAGCCACACTCCTTTATAAGCTACTGAGTCCTTGTAAACTTTATATACCTACTCACGAGATTCTCTAAAAATGCAACCTTTCTCTCCCAAGATTGATTACAAGAGTCCAGGAATTAGAATTAATTTTAAAGACTCATTAATATAGCACTGAATCGTATACATCAAATGGTTAAAGGGGAGGCCGGTTTGTGTCCCAGCTGCTCCACCTCTGATCCAGCTCCCTGCTAACAGCCTGGGAAACAGCAGAGCACGGCCCAAGTGTTTGGGCTTCTGCCACCGACATGTGAGAAGGCAGAGCTCTTGGCTCCAGCCTGGCTCATTCCCAGGCTCTGAGGCCACACTGGAGAGTGAATCAACAGATGAAGATTTCTCTCCATCTCTTTCTGAAACTTTTTTTTTTTAAAGATTTATTTTTAGTGGAAAGTCAGATATACAGAGAGGAGGAGAGACAGTGAGAAAGATCTTCCATCTGATGATTCACTCCACAAGTGAGTGCAACGGCCGGTGCTGCGCCGATCCGAAGCCGGGAACCAGGAACCTCCTCCGGGTCTCCCACGTGGGTGCAGGGTCCCAAAGCATTGGGCCATCCTCCACTGCTTTCCCAGGCCACAGGCAGGCAGCTGGATGGGAAGTAGAGCTGCCGGGATTAGAATCGGCGCCCATATGGGATCCTGGCACGTTGAAGGCGAGAACTTTTAGCCGCCAGGCCCTCTTTCTGTAACTCTGATGTTCAAATATATAAATACATGTTAAAATAAATACATGTTTAAAAGGATAATTTAAAAATTAAAAATTCCTTTTATTTGATAGCAGCACTGTGGTGTAGCAGCTAAGTCTCCACCTGTGGTGCCAACATCCCACTTAAGCACCTCCAGTCCCAGCAGCTGCTCCACTTTCAATTCAGTTCCCTGCTGTGGCCTGGAAAAGCAGTGGAGGGTGACTCAAGGCCTTGGGACCCTGGCACCCATGTGGGAGACCCAGAAGGGGATCTGGAATCTGGCTCCTGACTTTGCACTCACCCAGCTCTCCAAACTCTGACCATTTCAACCATCTGGGGAGCGCACCAGCAATTAGAGGATCTCTTTCTCTCTACCCCTCCTCAATCTGACTCTGCCTTTCAACTAAAGTTAAATATTTACAATAATATATATAAAGATTTTTTTTTTCCCAGTTGGAAGGCAGAGCCCGGCACAATAGCGTAGTGGTTAAGGTCCTGGCCTTGCACACGCTGGGATCCCATTCAGGTGCCGGTTCTAATCCCGACGGCCCTGCTTCCTATCCAGCTCCCTGCCTGTGGCCTGGGAATGCAGTCGAGGATGGACCAAGACTTTGGCACCCTGCACCCACATGGCAGACTGGTAAGAGGCTCCTGACTTTGGATCAGTGCAGCACTGACCCTTGTGGTCACTTGGGGAGTGAACCATTGGATGGAAGATCTTCCTGTCTCTCCTCTTTGTATGTCTGCCTTTTCAATTAAAAGAAAAAAATCTTTAAAATAAAGAAATAAATTGGAAAGGCAGATTTATAGAGAAAAGGGAGACAGAGAGGAAGAGCTTCTGTCTGATGATTCTCTTCCCAAGTGACTGCAACAGCCAGAGCTGCGCCGATCTGAAGTGCAGGGTCCCAAGGCTTTGGGCAGTTTTCAATTGCTTTCCCAGGTCACAAGCAGGGAACTGGATGGGAAGCGGGGCCACTGGGATTAAAACTGGCGAACATATGGCATCCTGGTGTGTGCAAGACAAGGACGTTAGCCACAAGGCTAATGCACCAGGACCAGTAAATAAACTTTTAAAAATTATTCATTTCAAAGAATTACAGAAAAGGAGAGATATAGAGAGAAACAAGAGGAAAGAAAAGGAAAAGGCAGACTGGAAACCTTAGTCTCCAGTTAAATTCTTTACTTAACAATTCATATAAACATATCACTAAGATCTAGGGACCACTGCAATTCACCAATGCATTCATGGGTATGAATGTATTTTAAAGTTTTAATCCCAAATACTCATAAGCATATATTACTTGCACAATTATTGTAATTTTAGATAAAATTTTTGGAGGAGCTGCAAGCAGGCCTGTGTCCCAACCTTCTCCAAACACATCCAACTTATGTTCCTACCTCAGCATCTTGAGATTTTGCAATGTCCACCAAAGTCTTTGCTGCAGGATGAACGACATCAAGGAGCTTCAGGATTGTGGCCCCATCGTTGGAAATTGTAGCTTTGCCTTAAACGAAACACAAACACTTAGTCTCTTCCTTAAGTTCTTCTATTTGGACTTAAGAGTTCATGTATACTTTACTAGGAAGGGCAAAGGGGATCATGCTGGCTGAGACCAATCCAACCTCTTAGGAAGGCGATACTGTGCACAAAGTGTCCCTAAAATCCCATTTATGAAGATCACAGACTCCTGATCTTCTTGAACACCAATGAGTACAGCTCAGTTAGATGCAGGAGAAGTCTGACATGAAAAGCCCAAGCGCTCACACAGCTGATGCTTACTTATTCACATGTCAACTAATACATGATACAATGATAGTGGTCTAACTTTCTAAAGGGTTTTATTTCAAGTCTTTAGGCCACATTTACCCAAGAAGCAACTCCTGAAACCATATTCCACCACCTCAGACTCAGCAATCCCTCACTGAAAGCAATGAAATTTTTGAAACCAATTTCTGTTACTCCCAAATGACCCCGGCTTTTCTGCAAACATGCTTCAGATCCTGTAGGCTTACCTCGGCCATCCACAATAAGTTTATCCATGCCACGAGGACCCAATGTGGTTCGTACAGCCTCGGCGATCACCTGGCAGGCACTGATGTTACTCACAAGCTGGGGGATGCCTTGAGAGCTATCAGTCCCCTCTTTCAACAGGATAACTGGTGTTGGCTAAAGGACAACAAGCAGTTCTTAATTTACAATAAAACACAAAAGGACAAAGAAAACAATTTCCCAACCTCCACACAACAATGATCTAAGGCCTTTTTGAAGCTACCACTCCTGGAGTAGCTGGTTGGCACAGTGGTTCAGACATTCGCCTTGGGATGCCCATGCCCGTGGATTGGAGTCCTTGCTCCCTTGCCTCTGATCCAACTCTGTTCATGTGCACTCTGGGAGACAGAAGCTCATGGATCAAGTGTTGGGGTCCCTGCCACCCATGTGTGACTCTGGGCTTGCTGCACGCATTTAGGGAGTATGGAAGATCTCCTTATTTTTGTCTCTGCCTTTAAATTAAAAACTAAAAAACACACAATGCCTCATTAGTGTCCACATCTATTTCTCCAGCAGCCTCTACTTTCAGACTGCCAAGAGCACTCAAGAATGTCAGACAGGACAATGGCCTAGGGACTACTGACCCAGACTTAAAAAACAGATGATCATGTTTCCCAGCCTTTTCAACTTCTGACCTTATTCCCTGCACTAAGTAATTAGGTCACAGCAAGGAAGGAAGAATCCCTGCTCAGTATTCACCCTCTCCTAGAACATGCACTTGTCTGTTACAGCTCAATCTTTGAGAAGCACGGCAGGCACTCTCGCAAAACGCAGTGTCCACAGCTTGCAGGGTCACCTGGAGATGCTCAGGTGGGTAGCTTTGCCAGTGACATTCAGTTGGAGTATATAGGAAAACGGGAAGAGAAACCAACAATGCCTTTGTCCTGCCTCACAAACAGTTCTAATTACCCAACAACAGTAGCCTTCTCTCAGGCTGATTCTGGGGAACTCATTTCTAATCAGATGCCACCCAGCATTTGTCTGAATTTCCCACTAGCCCCCTAAAACAGCCAAGTAGTCTCTGTGGGGGCTTCATCTGCAGCCCTGCTTTTAAGACTCTAGGAATGGGCCTGGTGTGGTGGTCTAGAGGCTAAAGGTCTCATCTTGAACACACCGGGATCCCATATGGGCACTGGTTCTAATCCCAGCAGCCCCGCTTCCCATCCAGCTCCCTGCTTGTGGCCTGGGAAAGCAATTGAGAATGGACTAAAGCCTTGGGACCTTGCACCCGGGTAGGAAACCCAGAAAAAGTTCCTAGCTCCTAGATTTGGATCAGCACAGCTCCAGCCATTGAGGCCACTTAGGTGTGATTCACTGAACGGAAGATCTTCCTCTCTGTCTCTCCTCCTCTTTGTATATCTGACTTTACAATTAGAAAAAAAAAAAAAGACTCTAGGAATGCAGGCCTACTGCATGTGTTAAAAGTCTGCTTAGGTGCCTTTGCTCCTGGGAGCAAGTGGGTGTTTCTTCTGTACACCTGCAAGTCAGTCTTCAGACAAGCTCCTGAACAGCATCAAGTCTCCTCAGTATTTCCACATTTGTGTGTGAAACAGTGTGGCAAGGGTAAACATTTCCAAACTTTCAGGGCTCACTATGTGCTACTACGCTCTGACTGTATTCCTGACTTCAATCTGGCCCAGGTGTTGTGGGCATTTGGGGAGAAAGCAGATGAGATCTCTCTGTCTCTCTGCTTCTCAATACATAGATAACAAAAAGAATGCCTATCAGATAACCCCTTCTATGTGGGGTCAGGTACGGGCCAGAGGGAAAACCCCTTCCTTTCCCATGAGCAGCCCAGGTCTGATGACAAGAAAGGGCTTCTCACTACTCCTTCCTTTCCCATGAGCAGCCCAGGTCTGATGACAAGAAAGGGCTTCTCACTACTCCTAGCTATCTTTCAGGTGCTCAGCTGGCCCAGTCCCTCTCAGCAGGAGAAAGACCTAGCCTCTCAGCTTTCCCCATCTTGCTAAATCATTTCTTAAGCAGCATCTCATCTGGTCTACACGTGCCCTAATGCAGTCTTAACCATGTAAGTAAAAAACCAACTTGGGTCTCAATCCTTTCCCACTGCCTTCAACAGGCTAATTCATACCCAAATTTCCCATCTCCACCCCCAAAGTGTACAGAAATAAGCAACCCTGCCATTTCCTTTCTTCTTGTGCCAATAGCACTCTGCAAACGTTGAGCTAATGTTCTGAAAACCTGCTGACCCTCTGTTACAAGTGTGACCAGCACCAGCCCCACAGAGTAACACAGTAAAAGAAGTGCAAAGACTTCCAGTGCCTAGAGAAACAGCGTCATGATAGGAAGCAAAGTGGCTATGGTGGGCAGACAAGCCCATTTTCCAGAAACGGGAAAGAACTACAAAGAAGAGTGTGTTGAGGTTTGAGAGCCCAAGTGCAGACCCAGGAGAATGTTGACTATTAAGAGATACCAACTCCAATTGGGAAGAGATAAGAGAAAGGGCCAAGTGTTCCAGTTCTAATCTTCACCTGCTGTTTTGTTTTGAAGACAATAAAATCTTAAAAATACATATAAATATATTAAAAACCCCAGCTATAGGCAACTGCCTAGGTTGCATAATACACATTAGCAGCACCTGCGGTCACTCTCCTGCTGCCCATATGACCTTGAGAATAGGAGAACTCTAAAACAGCTGCATAAGTTGCACTGTACCTAGGTAAGTGTGTTGCACTGCTGGGAGAAAAGAATCTAATAGCTGGGAGTGAGCCTGACTAATGCCAAATTTGTGTTAACTATACCAGTATGCCAGCATAGCTACTTACTCTTTTCTTCTTTTCTTTTTTTTTTTTAAAGATTTATTTTTATTATTTTTTCATTGGAAAGGCAGATATACAGAGAGGAGAGACAGAGAGGAAGATCTTCCGTCCGATGATTCACTCCCCAAGTGAGCGCAACGGGCCGATACTATGCCGATCCGAAGCCAGGAGCCTCTTCCGGGTCTCCCACGCGGGTGCAGGTTCCCAAAGCGTTGGGCCGTCCTCGACTGCTTTCCCAGGCCACAGGCAGGGAGCTGGAAGGGAAGCGGGGCTGCCGGGATTAGAACCGGCGCCCATATGGGATCCCGGGCGTGCAAGGCGAGGACCTTTAACCACTTGCGCCACCGCGCCGGGCCCTCTTTTCTTCTTTTATAAAGGTGATCTGGGCCCAAAGCGAAGGCTCAGTGGCTAAAGTTCTCACCTTGCAAACACTGGAATCCCATTCGGACACCAGTTCATGTCCTAGATGCTCCACTTCCCATCCAGCTCCCTGCTTGTGGCCTGGGAAAGCAACTGAGGATGGCTCAAAGCCTTGGGACCCTGCACAGGCTGGGAGACTTGGAAGAAGTCCCTGGCTTCTGCCTTCGATCAGCTCAGCTCTGGCCATTGTGGCCATTTGGGGAATGAACTAGCAGATGGAAGATCTAATTCTCTCTGTCCTTTTCTCTGTAAATCTGATCAGCCTTTCCAAGAAAAATAAATTGAAAAAATTTTTTTTTAAAAAGTGGTCAACCAGGACACTGCACTTGTAGGTAGAGGGGGGCTTAAACTGGGTTGTTTGCAGGAGGAAAAAAACCAATGCACACATCCATATGGGAGACTGAGCTGGGCTAGTTAGTATCAACCACTGCCCATTGCCTACCAGAGCACCCAAGAGTTAGAGAGGGGGGAACATCCAGGCAGAGATAGTCCACATACCTGCCACTGAGTGTTGGGGTAGGGGATAGACCACATCAGGCTCGGCCATGACACTAACCAGCATGTCAGAGAACCAGGTCTGGGGCAGATTCTGTGGGGGATTCCTGGGTTTACCCACCTAGTACTATATATCTGCTGATTCGCTTGAGAGCTGGGCCTGGTGATGGGCCAATCTAGGCATGACCAGAGAACTTACAGACACTCGTGGGAACTGCGGTTGGGGTGGGACAGGCTGGGCTGCAATATCCACCAACATACACAAAGGTTGAGACTGGGAGACAGACTATGCACCCATTGGCATGTGTGATATAGGGAGGCTCAAATCACTAGAGCTAGGCTGTAACTATTTTTTCTTTACTACTACGTTTGAAGTCTTAAGCAATAAATCTTACAACTGTTGTAACTGCTTTGCCGCTACCCTTGAAGTCCGCAGCAATAAACTTTTCAAAGAATCTTTACCGTATCGGGGTCTTGCTTGTGGGACGAGGGACCCCGATAAGCCAGAATGGGCATGGGCTGGTCTGGAAAGGCTGTACTACCTGCCAGTGAATGTTGGGACTACAGGTAGGCCAAGTCAGGCTGAGCCAAACACTACAGATTCGTGTGAGATTAGTGACTGGGAACTGATCTGACAGGGGAGCTTGAGGAACTCCCCTGTTAAGATGTAAGTGGTGAGCCCAAGAACTGAGCTGGGAGCAGTCCTGGACAGGACAGGCTGTCATCAGAACATGTAGTCAGGTTTGGGGGTAGCCCTGGCTGGGCAAGTCTGTAACATCTTCTGGTAGGTATTAAGAGTCAGGACGGGTGCAGGCCAGGCCAAGTTGGGATTCCATACCTGCCAGCTCACATCAAGTCTGGGACGGGGCTGGCCAGACAGAGCCAGGCTGGAGCACCCACTGGCAAATGCCAAGGTGAGACAAGCCATGCCAGACTGGGTTGTTGCACCCACTTGCACATGCAAAATCCCAGGCCAGAGCAACCTTGGGGTGGGGGGGGAATAGGAACAACTGTGGAGACTCTCCCGTTTGGCCACTGCTCCCATTGGTGAATGTAAGAGTTAATACTGGGGTGGACCAGGCTGGGCAGAGCTGCAACAACCTTTAGCCTGCATGTGAGCTGGGTTAGGGGGAGGACCAGGCTAGGAGAGGCCAATGCATCCACTGGTGCATGCAAGAGCTGGGTTGGGACAAGTGCCAATTGGCTGGGCTTTGCCACAGCATCTGCTGCCAAGTACCGGGACATGGTGCAAATCATGTCAGATTGGACCACAATATCCCCTGAAAAATGCAAGATCCAGGATTGGGAGTAGGCCTAATAAGGAAACTGTAGGCATTCCTCTGTGGGGCTGTAGCTCTCGCTGATGTGCAGGAGATCCATGGTTGTGGCTGGGCCAGGCTGGACAAGGCGGTAAAACCCATT